GAGGAATTAGATCAGGAGAATAATGATACTGTAATTAGTAGCTCTCCAGTTAATTGAGGGTGGTAAGGCTAGGTTTGCCAGGCTAGATATGATTCATTAGATGGTTCTTAGTGGGAATACTGTTTGTAAACCTTGGGTTATGATTATAGTTCAACTGTGGATTTGTTTATAATTAGTGTTTGCTAAACAGTAAGGATGAGGTGAGTCCATGGGCAGTTATTAGTGTGGTTGCCCCTAAGCTTCATAGGGTTTGAATCAATGGCTGCAATTACTAATGCTATATGGCTCGCTGAGGAATAAAGTGATTAAGGATTTTAACTCTGTTTGTCATAGGCAGATAGAGCTGGTTATGACTATTCCTCATAATGAGGGTAGGATAAATGGGTAGGCTATGGTTTTGGTTCTAGGGTCTAGGATTACAGAAATTCGTATTATACCATAGCCTCCTAGTTTTAGTAAAATAGCTGCTAAAACTATTGATCCAACAACTGGGGCCTCTACATGTGCTTTAGGAAGTCATGAGTGGACTCCATATAGTGGCATTTTAATGAGAAATGCTATTATACTGGCAAGTCATAAAATATTAGATCATGTGTGGCTGAATGAGGTAAAGTTAAGGGGAGGAGAAGAGAGTTTAATGTTCCTGTTGAGTTTTGAATAAAGATAAGGGCAGTGGGTAGTGGGCTGGGTCCAGGTAGTGTGTAAAATAAAGTCCAGCATTTCATCATTCTGTTTGATTACCGCATTGGGTTAAGTGTTGGGATTAGGTTAGCTTCAAATAAGATGTATAATTAATTTGTTTGCAAGAGAATGTTATAATTAGTAAAATTTGTAGAGATACCAGTATGGAAATACAAGTTTTTTAAATTTTTTTTTTTAATTTAGTTGTTTCCTTTTTGGTGTGGTTTTGGCTGGCCAGGAGTATTAGAGGTAGAAGTCATGTTTTGAGAATAACTAGCTGGGAAGATAGTGAATCAATGGAAAATAGCAATGAAAAATTTAGGTTATTTGTATCACTTTGTCATAGGAGGATTATGGAGAGTAAGCTGATTAGGAAGCTATGAGAGGTCACTTTAATTCATACATTTTTATTGTTTGAGAGTCAAATGAAAGGAAGTAATAGGGAAGGGAAAATAATTTTTGGCATTGTAATAGGTTGAAATTTTGTACATAGTCTGTGCTCTATGTATTTGATCCTTTGACTAATAGGGTTCGTCCTACAGCTTCACATGCTGCAGAAACTAGAATTATGATAGGAATTGAATACATACCGTTGAGTGCGAGTGAAGGGATGTAACTGTGGCTCTAATGAATAGTGCAAGTATTATGCCCTCTAGGTATAGGAGTGTAGATACTAGTTGAGATCAAAATGTGTGTCCCTAGGAGAGAAAATGAATGTCAGTGTAATATTAAGAGCCACAGATGTCATCTTGGTAATTATGATAGATAACCATAATCTAATGAGTCAATCATTTAGTTAAACCAATTACCAATTCTATTCAGTTCATTCTAGGCCTTTTTGTAGTCATTCATAAGCACCAGTATTTTAATATGTGTGCTTTCTTCATACGTAGACCTCAGGGGTTCCAGGTAGGCAGTGGGGCAGCTGTGGTGGATGTTTTGCAGGGAATAGCTCTTACAAGACAGTGGCATCGTTGATCCTCAGCTTCTGGTGGACAGATTGGTAAAATTACTCAGACCATGTATCCAAGACGGGATTTAGTGAAAAGCATTCTGATTGACTTGTACTTTAAGATACCTGTGTGTATCTGTATTTTTGTGAGTATATTGCCATGTATGTATGACTGGTGGAAGTCAGGAGTCATTCAGATGTGGGAGCTGGGAACTGAGCTCTGGTCATCTGGAAGAGCGGGAGCTGCTCTCCAGCCCCGTGGCTTGTACTTCAACACTGTTTAAGAATTAGTTTTGTGGGGTTGGGGATTTAGCTCAGTGGTAGAGCACTTGCTTAGCAAGCGCAAGGCCCTGGGTTTGGTCCTCAGCTCCCCAAGCCACTAGTTAGAGATACTGAGGGAGACCAGCTCCCTCTTTTTCCCCCAGGGTACTCTTGAGGGAGAAGTGAGAAGTATGTAGATAGAAATATAGAGAAGAGAGACAGTTAGAAACACAAGTTAGCCTAGGGAGGGCCTGGATCAAAACCCACCAGCCCCTTCTGTCTCTTCTAAAGGGCTTTTAAAGGAATGCCAAAGGGTGGAGCAAAAGACCTCCCCACAGCACAGCCAACTGCAGACCATTCCAGACACCTGGTGACCATGGCATGTGGTTAAGCTATCCCCTAATGCAGCCCTGCTGTGTCAAGCAAGCTCAGATCTCACTAGGAAGCTTTTGTGGACTACCACAGGTCCCTCCTATTAATTTTTTAAAGAGCCCCTCAGGCCCCTCTGATAAGCTGGGTCTGTCTTAGGTCATTCCCTTCTGCCAGACAACCCTTACCTGTCTTGAAGATACACTTTACATCAAGTGCCCTCTGGCTTAGGTTGGGAAGGTGGAAAGAAGAACGTTGTCCATCCCTGACTCTCAACCTCTGGTAGGAGGGGGTACTGAGCTTAACTTAGCTCTGGCCCAAGTTCCTATTGAGCTTACAACCTCATCTCCACAGCAGGAGTAGAGGATGATAAAGATGGCATTTTTTTTTGGAATGGATCTTGAGATGGCTATAACAGTGTCAGGCCCTTTTTAAATCAATAAACTCTTGATGCAAACCACATCATATAAAGCACATCAAACTTAAATATTCCTTTAGCTTTTAACAAACTCTGGTTCATTAGCATCAACAATTCTAGTATAAACATTACATATTTACAACTAGCACGACTATTTACTAAATGTATTTACACTTCTTACAGACTTACATCACTATACATATTTACAACTCTTGTTTTGTTTTCTGAGACAGGGTTTCTCTGTGTAGTTTTGGTGCCTGTCCTAGATCTCGCTCTGTAGACCAGGCTGGCCTCGAACTCACAGAGATCCGCCTTGCTCTGCTTCCCGAGTGCTGGGATTAAAGGTGTGTGCCACCACCACCTGGCATATTTACAACTCTTTACAAGCATACTTATTTATCCTTATTATAAACATATTCAAGAGCAAACTATATAGTTGTACTATGTTTCCCAGACTGCCCTTTGAACTACATTTCCCAGGTTGCCTTTCAGGTATGCCACACTTCTCATTTCTGTTTACACAGTCTGTGTGGTTTGTGTTCATACTGAAGTCAAGCTTCTGCTTTTTTTTTTTTTTTTTTTAAATTCAAGGGAGGTTTACGTTTTCCCTAAGTTCGCATTAAGACAGGTGTACTTTCCTAAATGTACCTTTCACCTGACCCTGTCCCCAAGCAGATTGCTCTGTCTGCCTGCACACACTCAGACAGCACTTATTGCCAGAGGCAAAAACCCTTCAGGTCTTCACTCCCTCTCCTCACCTGGTCAGTGAGGGAAAACAAAAACACTTGAAACTAAACTTTTTCAGAAAGGTCTTTTCCCTGCTAGAAAAGAGAGCTTTTCTCCCAGATAGTTCTTGGTTTTGTCATGGCTTATCTCCTCCCCCAGCTACAAAGCCCCTGATGCCACCACCGCAGCTGGGCTTTACTGATTCCTCTGCCTGCACTTTCCTGAATGTCTATGGCTAGGTTCTAGCTGC